ACCAGATCGACGCGCTGCTCAAGGCGGCGGTGGAGCGGAGATGCGGCGGAGATGCGGCGGAGATGCGGCGGAGAGATGCGGCGGAGATGCGGCGGAGATGCGGCGGAGATGCGGCGGAGATGCGGCGGGGATGCGGCGGAGATGCGGCGGAGATGCGGCGGAGATGCGGCGGGGAGATGCGGCGGAGAGATGCGGCGGAGATGCGGCGGAGATGCGGCGGAGATGCGGCGGAGATGCGGCGGAGAGATGCGGCGGAGATGCGGCGGAGATGCGGCGGAGATGCGGCGGAGATGCGGCGGAGATGCGGCGGAGATGCGGCGGAGATGCGGCGGAGATGCGGCGGAGATGCGGCGGAGAGATGCGGCGGAGATGCGGCGGAGATGCGGCGGAGATGCGGCGGAGATGCGGCGGAGATGCGGCGGAGATGCGGCTCGGCGCAGTGGCTGCAGCGGCGTCGGTGCACTCCCCACAGCGAGTCCCAGCCTGCTCCATGCCCCCTCGCGCCGGCCCCGTCCCGCGTAGGCGACGGTGGAGCCGAGGGGAGACGTCGCCGATCCTGCGACCGGCCGGTCCCCCTACCCAGGCTCCATCAACCAGCTCCTGTTCGCGCTTGGGCCGTACGCCGCGCAGCTGCACAAGACCGGCGGCACCATGCCCGAGTTCGTCAACCCGAAGTACGCCGACGCGAGCAAGACCAAGTTCAAGTCGCCCACGCGGCTCGAGTGCATGATGCAGGAGACGCCTCTCCCCGTATCTCCCCAGATCTCCCCAGATCTCCCCGAACCTCCCCATATCTCCCCATATCTCCCGGTATCTCCCCACATCTCCCCACATCTCCCCACATCTCCCCACATCTCCATATCTCCTCACCCCGAGTGCACGATGCAGGAGCCGATCTCGGCCAATCTCGGCCAATCTCGGCTGCTCACCTCGGCTGTACCTCGGCTCTACCTCGGCTCTACCTCGGCTGTACCTCGGCTGTACCTCGGGTGCGTCATGCAGGACTACCCCAAGTCGCTGCCCCCC